ATGATGCATACAAGATCAAAATGTCAAGGAAAACAAAACTAAAATTTAAAAGAAGTTTATGGTTTTGTACCTAAAATGTTTTTCTTTTAATCTGTTTGAACATTTGTTTTTCTTGTTTTTGGATTTTGCAGAAAGAACCCGATTAAAGGACGACGAGCGCCCGCTGGTGACGCGTGTTCTCTACGGTCCATGCGAGAAGATCTCCAGAATCTTCATCACGGAGGCCGACCTGGGGGAGGAAGTTCCATATGATGTGGGTCAAGCTCCCACACAGCTGCAATCTCTGTTCTTTCAATCTGGTTCATGATAAATAACATCTTTTTTATTTATTTTTGTAGTTCATAGGAACATAATGACAATAGGCAAATGACTAATAGTTTGCTTAAATTTAGAAAGCTGAAGTAAGATATCCTGTTTTGGGACAGTTACAACAATAGGCTAAAATGACTGAATATCTATTCTGACCCTTTCATTATAAATAAAACAAGACTGCTGGAGGTTCTCAGAATAGAGTAACACTTTCATCATATCAGCAACATTAGAGTTCACAATTTTCAAAAACAATAGTGATATTTATACTTTTAGTTGAATTTGAAAAACCCTCACATCAATAAAAGACTTCTTTAGTCTACGGAGATAGACTATTTCATGTTTACAGTACACTTTATTCTTATTTTGCCTGTGTTTGCATGAGCGTTGTACTAATTCTATGCTGTTTTTTCTCTTCAGGTTGCTCAGTACATAAAATTTGAGATTCCTGTTTTAGACAGTTTTGTAGAGAAACTTAAAGAAGAAGAAGAACGTGAGATAACCAAACTGACTAAAAAGTAAGTCAAAAGTCAATAGTTCAGCAACACAAGTTGCTGCACTGTTTAATTTAATTATGTGAAGCTAATCAGTCTGTCTCTTGCATGATTTTAGCATCAGCGTTAGCAGCTGACCTGCAGTGTCCTCATTTGTTTTAAATGGGGAATGCTCATTTGGGGCGGCTGTGGTGTAGTGGTAAAGCAGCCGGATATGTTCTGACAAGTTTTTTTCCTAGTTACATTTCACAGGGTTCCCATGGGTCCTTGAAATCCTTGAAAGTTTGTGAATTTGAAAAAAATATTTCAAGGCCCTGAAAAGTTTGTGAAAACAGCCAAAAATTACACTTGTCCTTGAATGTTTTTTGGGGGGGGCGGGGGTTGAAATTCTCTATTCACACAACTGATTTTCATCATCTTTTAAAAAATATATTATAAAATTAATTTAAAAAAACTTACATTTGTTGCGGTGGATAAC